GAGGGAGGAAGGGGGACTATGGCAGGAGGTACGAGGAGGTAGGAGCAGGACTCTACCGAACGTAGGAGGAGGTAGGGGCAGAACTCTGCCGGAGGTAGGAGGATGTAGGGGCAGAACTCTAGCAAAGAAGGAAAAAAGAAGAAGAAGAATAGGACTATCGCGTCCCAGAAGGACCGTAGAGAGTAAGAAGAGGAGGAAGAAGAAGAAGAAGAAGAAGAAGAAGAAGAAGAAGAAGAAGAAGAAGATTATAAACTATGCCCTCCTTCACGCCTGCAAACGAGACAACCCGTTGCATCCTTTGTTCATCACTTTAAACCACCAGTAGGGTTGGAAACGACCTGTGCACCAAGAACAAAAAAATTGAACTGTCGCGGGCCGCCTTTAGGATGGCGTCGCCAGCCATTTTGCCCCGGAGGACAAGCCCTGAAAGTTGGGCCTGCATGCAAGCCGCATATTTTATCCTTTGGCTGGGAAACACATTGGTGATTTAAGCTTCACATGGAGGGTGCCTCAGATTCGGCTTCTTCTACGTCCCCCTGTGTATAAGCACCCCCCCCAAAAAAAGGAATTTGGTGTACGAGAATCCAGTTTCTCATATCGAACATAATAGACTCAGAGAGTTGTTCATTATGAAATCACTACAAACGTACGATAATGAACTACTCACATGGAAGCCATGGCAATCGATAGAAGTCATCCCTTATGGGCTGATGGGAGGAGAAATCCCAGCTGAGAGAGCAACCATGGAGGCCACTTTGGTTGAAGGCCATGAAACTTTTGCAGGCAATCAATCAAGAGAAGGCAGCAGAGCAATTAAGAACAACAGCTACCGTCTTCACCCGAATAGAACGCCCGGTCATTATCACTGCATCTGGACCGAAAGGTGTGCCAAATACAGCTATAATGACCGGGCGTTCTATTCGGGTGAAGACGGTAGAGAGGTCAGGCTTCTCCATGCCTCGCGTAACTAAGCAGAGTTCATGAACTGAAGTGCGGTTATTTTCCCCACCACAATGGGCTTGACCACAACCCAATATACATAGAACCAGTGTTTGGCCCAGGTTTGCAAAAAAAAGGCACAGTTTTTCGAAGATAAATAACTCTCTGCCCGATACTAAGGACATAAAAGAGTCGTCCAACAGCCTAACTCAGTTGATAAGGCACGCAAGTGGCATTCAGAAGGTCGTGGATTCAAAATCCCCATTGTCCTCATGTACCTTCCTGGGCAAGCTTGGCTCCCGCCACCTGGAGATAGGTCGTTGGTCCCCCTGAGCGACATTGAGCAGCGACTGCTGATGTTCGTATGGGGGAGGGGACCGGAGGGGAGGCACAGCGACTGGCCCATCGACGAAGCTCGGTCCTGATGCTACCAGCTGACCCCTGCCCGGTATTGCCCACCTCCTGAAGCAGGTATCGCCCACCTGCTGGTGGGTGCCACTCCCGCATGTTCCCTGGTTGAACATAGCTGTGGCTGCTATGGGGTTCCCCGTAATACTATAATGATAATAAAAAAGGCCCTCTGGAAGGCCATCCTGTCCAGATTTGACAAGTAAATTGAATTGGTTGGGCTTAAAAGAATTAGCTTTCTTCAAAAAATAAAAAGTCAGTAGTCCGAACATGCTTAGATAGTCCTTCGGGAAATCCGTTAAAATTGGAACGATACAGAGAATGAAGATTAGCATGGCCCCTGCGCAAGGATGACACGCATAAATCGAGAAACGGTCCAAATTAAAAAAAAATAAAAAATAAAAAAAAATAAAAAAAAATGCTTAGATAGTTAAAGAAGTGGACCTGATTCCCCAACGCTTGTCTATAACTTATCACGCGCAGCATCCAACGCTTCCAGAATACTCTACTCTCCGCCGAAAGGAAACAAACTTTAAGAATCAAGGAGCTGGAAGGCAGCCGTTAGCCTAGCAGAGAGAGAGAGGTAAACTTAATAAGCAACCTAAAGAGAGACAGAATACAAAGAGCTACTAACTAGAGCAAGAGGAGAAAAAATTTGGTAAAACTGACAAGTGTTGAAAGTCAAAGGGCTCCACTTGAGGGAGAGCCAGAGTTTGTGAGCGGGAAAAAGGGGGAAACCCTTGAAAAGTGACAAAAAAAAAATTCTACAGAAAAATCAAAGCACAAGGAAGATAACCCCCACAGATATCCTTTGTATGCAGGAAATGCACCAAACCACTTCAGATAAAGTTGATAAACACAAGCACATCTTGACAGAAGATTATAAAAGAAGAGTAAGACAAGTCAAGCATGCAAAATGGGCTCCCACCCCCAATTCAACGTCGGTAGGAGTACTTAGAGGCTGCTAGCACACAACAATGCAGAAGAAGCAGGACAATTTTTTTATTTTTTTTGGCTAACCGTAGTTGAAACGGCGAGTGGAGTGATGAGCAAGGAGGTAGATAGACTGGAATAGATCTCACATACAGGGAAGAAGGATTAGTCATAGTCACTGTTTAATATTGTTTTTATGCATGAAAAATATAGCACATAGAAGAAGATTTTTGGAGGTAATCAAACAAGAAAATGTCGCACACACAAGCACCTGATCTTTTCTCTGGAGACAGGAATGCCACGCTAGACCCCACCGTATATAGAATTTCCCATGCTCGATAATGTATGGATGAATGAATGAAATCACATAAAATGATAGAATTTCTGACAAATAAAGAATTTTGTGAAACCCAAATAGAATGCTAAACCCATCGGTGACTCGGTGAGAGACTTCACATGTACAAGAGGTCAGTGCACAAACAGCCTGTTTTTTTCCAGAATACATTATAATATTTTCTAATCTCAGAGACAATAGGAGAAGCAACTAAAAATGTAACAATCTTGAAAATCCCACACTACGGCGGTTTTGATCACAACCAAAAAAGACCGAACTCGACCTTCACCCTAAACAACAGCTCATGAAAATCTTTCACAAGGTAAACAATTCTCTAATAACCAAAGGAGTAAGACAAGCATCGGAAGCTCGTACGCAAGATTTAGGCACCATACGGATTGCGTCCGTACAGGCAAAGACAATCTCAGAAGTCAATAGATGGCTAAGCAAAACCTCGAGAATAGAAGCAAGCAAGGAAAGAGAAAACCTGCTAGACACACTAGTCTAAACAGCCAAATTTAACCTAACCTCATGGACCACCCAGGCTCCCTGGTGTATGAATCCAATCCCTGCTAAGAGCAGCAAACGAGGAATTAAAACGATTGCTGGTATGGAACATGCAGGATCTAGCGATTAGAGCAAGAGTGAATGATTGGGAAAAAAGCAACAAGACTACAAGTCTATAAGACTATAACTATGTTCTTTCCCAAAAAAAATACATACAAGAATAGCAATAATGGAAACCTCGCTCTAAGGGACAACTTAGGCAATCTAAAGACTAGCCAAGATGGGGGGGTACTAAAAGTAGCTACAGATTTCTATCAAACACTATACACTTCACACATACTGGAACAAGACCAAGTAGAAGTGACACGGGCGAGAAACAAGTTCCTTAAGCATCTTCTAGATGGTAATATAGAACCCAAAGGAGCCAGCTACCTAAAAACAGAATTCACAAAACGAGAACTATACGAGGCCCTAAGAAGAAGCATCTAGATGTAAGTATAAAACCCAAAGGGGCCAGCTACCTAAAAACAAAATTCACAAAACAGGAACTATATGAGGCCCTAAGAAACATGAAACCAAACCAAGTACCGGGATGAGATATCCAGACAAAGGAATTTTGAGTAGGAAACCCTGGCAACCTCTAGGAAACTACCTAATTACAGTTTCCATTGACTTGCCGGGGGAACAGGAACCAGACCGTCGCTCCCCAGAATGGTAGGAGCCAGAACCAAAAGGTTCTGATGTCTTAAAAAAAAAAAAAAAAAAAAAAAAAAAAAAAGGCCTTCGTATTGGGAAGACTAGGAGAAGAAATGAGAAATGAACACGGACGGGGTGGTTATTCTACTATATATAAGAAAGGGTACAGAGATGACATAAGAAATTATAGACCCATCACTCTAACTACTGCCAGTGGCATATAAGATCCTAGCAAAGGCCTTGGCAAATCGCATAAAAAAACGTAACATTTCGTACTATTTCCAAAACAGGGTTTATACTGGGTAGATAGTAGATAGATACTTATTAGACTGTGGTATGCTTAAATGAAGCAACAAAGTCGATAAGCGATAAAAGAATGCAGGCAGCTATACTTCTTTTCGATTTCGGAAAGGCATATGACCAAGTCAATTGGGACTTCTAATAACTCAGTGGGAAACGCATGGGGGTATAGGACCAAACTTTGAGGATGGGTAGAAGTCCTCTTCTCTTTCAAAAGGGCGACGGTCTTGAGATATCCAGGTAATTCAGAGTCATTTTATTCTGTCCATCTGCTTGCTTCTGGATTTGAACTTTGGTCTGTATTTCAACAGTTCATGGGTGTGGTCCCAACTGAGCTAGGCTGGTTGGTTGTGGCCTGAGAATATAATATATAAAGCCAAGGCCTCTAACGCTTCCTTTCAGGCAATTGACAAGGGCCATGCAGGCCTTCCAGCTAGCCTCATAAATGACGATCAATTGGCCGAAAACAATTGTGCCACTTTGTGGCTATCCGCACCAGACCCCGCATCATATGTACTGGCTGCAGTACTATGTCTGCTGGTGGCTGCAGTACCATGTGTGCTTTGTTCCAATACTATGTGGGATGGGTGCTGTAGGATGTGAGCAGTGCGCAGTGCTATCAGCCGGGAACATTCTGTTGTGCTGTGTACGGTGTGGTGGTATGTGTGCTGGCTGCAGTAGTATGTTTGCTAGTGGTTGCAGTACCAACCAGGTGTGCTTCGTTCCGTTTGAGTTAGGTGCAGCAGTAGTATCTGAGCATGGTGCAGTACTATCTGCACCATGTGTCTGATGTTATGTGGGCCGGACTCAGTGTTATGTAGGCTGAATGCAGTACCATCATGTGCGTTGCCACATGGGGTGGGTCCAGCTATATGGGGGCTGGCGTGGCATGGTGTGATAGCAGGTGTGGTGGCTGGAACACAGTCTGCTGGCTGCAGTAGCGTGTCTCCTGCAAATGGTACTATGTGGGTTGTGTGTGGTACTATGTCGGGTGGTGTTACATGCTGAAAGCCTACACACGGGCCCCTCACGGGACCCGAGGTTGGAATAGGGCCCCCAGGTCGCGTCACCGCAACCTGAAGGCCCTATGGCATTTTTACTTGGGCCTGCATCAGAAAAACGCCAGCCTTAGATTATTTTTATAGTCTTTATTTTATTTATTTGCTGCTGTTTTTCTAACGGGTGTACTGTTGTCCGTTTTGTGGCCAGGTACACGCTTCTAGGGCTAGGGCCAGATTCAGGCCCAGAGGCTGAGCTCCTAAAAACGTTTGGACCTTTTCTTTTGTTTTCGAACAGATTTTGACCTGTTCGAACCCAGGCCGACGTTGAGGCCGGGTACGTCCGCACAGGACCGGTTTGAAGCCAGGTACCAGGAAGATTAATCCTGGACAGGGCCTGGACGTCCGGTAGGGACCCAGGCAGGCCGTTTTAGGCCAAGGACCGAACCAGTTTTCGAAGCCTGCGATCTGGACCGTGGATCGGAGTTTCGATCTGCACGGTCCAGAACGCCGTGGGTTATCAGTCCTGGCCCAGCACTACTTAAGCTGGGCCATTGCCCAGTTCGGACACAGAAGGTACCAGGAGAAATCCAGCGTTATGCTGGTTCAGGAACTTGGCAGCTGCGCTATTTTGGAGACTCCCTGCTGCGCTATTTCGAGACTGCAGCTGCGCTGCTCATCGGCCATGAGGCACAGCGCTGGAGGAGTCCAGCGTCGAGGAGGGTAGTGGAGTTAGAGAGAGAGAGAGAAGAGGACTTACCTGCCCAGCGCCATAGCTGGCTCCGCGGTACCTGCAAGTTCAGCCATCGCCAGGCAAGTGCAGAAAGCACCTAGCTTTCTTCTTCTTCTTCTTCTTCTTCTTCTTCTTCTTCTTCTTCTTCTTCTTCTTCTTCTTCTTCTCCTTCTCCTTCTTCTCCACTCCTCTTCTCCTCCTACTCCTCCGAAGTTCTTCTTCTTCTTCTTCTTCTTCTTCTCAGAGTAGAGATAGAGGTAACTGCAGACATTGTTTGGACACGGCATTCTGCCCTATTGGACACGACATTCAGATCGGACTTGCACTCTACATTGGGATTGAACCGTGTGTGACATTCGGAGATCAGACTTGGGTTGGACTTGGTTACCTCCGTCCCTCCCCCTTCTCTCTCGCATGTCTATGGATCTCTCCCCATGTGTGTGAGCGGAAGGGCAATCTTTCTGATGTTTTGCCCTTCCGAAGTTTTCTCCTTTTCATGTTGTTGTCCACGTGTCCTTTGATACTAAATCTTCCGCTGCGCTGCTTCACAGCCCATGATGATAATGATACGAATGTGTTGTTGTTGATTTCTCGTTGGGTTGCTCTTTGCATCATGCACATTGACATCTTCTGAATGCTGCACCTATGCTGCTGGTTGTTGCCACTTTCGTCATTGCTAGATCCTAGGCTGTCAGTGCATTTCACTTTCTGATATGCTACAGGTGGGCTGGGAAGGGTGCAGTAGTATTCGAGCTGGGCCTGTGGAACCATGCGCGCTGGGTATTGTCTTATGTGAGCTGGGTGTGCAGAGTATGGGCTGGGTGCAGTAGCATGTGGGGTGTGTGTGTGGCACTGTGCAGGCTTGTCGTGATACTATGTGAGACGGGTGTTGTGCTATGTGCTTTGGGTGTGGTACTGTGTGCTGCACGGAGGACTATGTGGGTTGGGTGGAGTAACACAGGAGATGCGCGCAGTACTATGTGGGCTGGGCGTGCTATAGTATGTCCGCCCTGCTGCCAGCTCGCACCTGCAACCCCACTCTGGGGCCAGCGATTTCCCGAGCCTCGCACGGGAATCATCACGCAAGAAAGACCCACTATTCACTTTTTAACCACCACTACCTCCGAGCCTCCTTTTGTCGAGGCAGATTCCCCCCTGCACTCCAATCTTTGCCGAAACGCCAGCGTGGCATTTTTCTTCTTCTTTTGGTTGACGCCACCAGCCATCCTGGTCCTGTAGCACTGTTCATGCCAACGGCCTAGTTGCACTACTCGCAATCCTCCAAGATTTTGAATGCATCTGGATTCTGGACATCCAGGTGTCCAAATGCATTCAAAATTCAAATGCATTTAAAATGTTGGCAGATGGCGAGTAGTGCAACTAGGCCCCAAGTCTGCACAATGTTATATTTTTTCAGTTTAGTCATTCTGGCTCGGAAAGGGTGTGGAAGAAGGGACCCTTTTTTTTTTTTGCAGGGGCAGAACGGTCATAAATCCTTTTGCGAAAGGCGAAGCAGTCAATGCCACTGTCTAAGGATCCTTCGTCCATAATGGAAGGAAGCGTCACGTGCGTTGATCAATGTACACGGCACGATGGCGCAGCTTTTTCCCAGCTTGTGTGTATAGTAAAGTGACTTGTTAAAAAATAGGAAAAACAAGAAAGAAGGAAAGAAGAGACTGATTCCCGGTGAGCCTGTGGGTGGAAGAGCACCTCCTTCACACAAACCTGGGTATTCAAGCAAGGATCATGTGTACATCGGGTGGCTGGTTTCTCCACCGGGCAGCTCGGACAAGTTTTTGTTCCACAGATGAGCCTGGAATAACATCAGACATCCACAGAGTGACGTGCAGAGGTCATTCACAAACAGAATGAACAACAGACTGTAGCATCGGGCCTTGCCGTGCCGGTAGACCCATGAACCATTTTGAAATACACACCCGAGTTCGAGTCCAGATGCAATCAGATGAACAGTACAAAGTACCACAAACTATAATAAAGTAATAAAAAAGAATGAACAACAGACTACTTGCACTGATGAACAGATCCCATGACATTGCAAGCACCTCGCAGATTCACGCCAAAAAACTCACTTGTTCGGGGAAGCTCGCACTTTGTCACACAAAACTCATTGCTCGAGATACAAGATGAACACGATACAAGAAGCCGGAATTGTCATTTTGAAAATCCAAAGGCATTACGAGCACAACTGCCTAATATGCTTTGCAAGTTGACGTCTAGAAAGAAACCCACAACTGCCTAACCTCTTTTGATGAAGGTGATGAAGGACTGAGCGACACTCGCCAGCTTAAAGCACCAGTACACCACATATCGGCCCGCGGGTGTCAGCATGAAACCGGCACCACTGCGGAGGCTGCCGATTTTTTTTTCAACGGCGGGCCTGGCCGCGCGGCGCCTCCGAGTTTTGCTTGTGGCGACAAAAACTTTCTGCAAGGCTGCGGCCGTGTACTAGCGGTTTAAGCATGATGATGGACATGGAAGATACAACCCATAGACAATACCCATCACACAATGTCATGCAAGTAAGAGCAATCACATTGACAAGTATAAAAGATAAGAATTGAAAAAGAAAGAAAGAAAGAAAGAAAGGAAGAAAGAAAGAAAGAAAGAGAGAAAGAAAGAGAGAGAAGATTTGAATACAAATATCAATCAGCCCATAACTGCTATCTGGCTGACCAACATTGAATACAACTGGAAATTTCAAAACTCACCCAGCACGTGCTGCTCACCATGAATAGATTGGAGCCTTGTTTTTTTTTTTTTGGTTGGGGGGGGAGAGGGAAGGATAGCAAATCCTTCATGGGATCAGTCCACTCCAAACATCCAGCCCACAGTCTGGTGGCCATTCTCCTATCAGTTTTAGCTACCCCAGTGGTAGCATCATCAGGAGGATTCTTCCCTCTACCTCATCCAGCAATAGTGCTTGATAGTGGCGGCCATACACGTTGCCTTGCCTCCATAAATTATACCTGTCAGCCTACCCCTCCTAAGGGCCCTAACCTCTCTTTCTCCCCTCTCCTCATTCCAACGGAAACGTGCTCACACCACAGTATCGCCATAGCAGACAGCAGATGTCTCCGATCTAGCGTTCCATCCGGATTGAGTCGTCCCCTCCTCATCTCTTCCTCCCATCTTCACATCCTTACGTGTACCCCGGCAAACCTCTCGACAATGCAGGTGCTGCATCACCTTTAGTATCCTTTGCAAGTTTTTT